TTATATAATATCTGCCAAGTTCAAGTGAATTAAAAATAATTCCACTTGGAAACATTGAAGGAACATCCTATAATTGCCCCTAAAGTGAAAGGTATCTGAAATGACAAAACAGGAGTGTGATTACCTGTGGCTGCACAATTTCTCACATGAAGCTGAATACAGATTTTGGCTATGAGACTGGATCACTTGGCTTCCCAGATTAGACCCCTGACTTTCTTCCTGAGAGGTAGCACGCCTCCAGATTGCTAATTAATTGACAAGTTAGCTACCTCAGTTCTAAAATCAGAAAATGATTGGGGGGTAAAGAGGTGAATTTTCTTTGGAATTGGAAAGGATTCAGGGAAAGGCATATTAACAAAGATACATTATTAAAGCTCCAATATTTACAAATCCCAAAGAAGCTTTTAGGGATTTAGGGGTTTAATCTTTGACTTTTAAAACCAGCTTTTCATTGTCAGACAAAATACCAGTGAGCATCTAACAACTGCAGGAAGCAGTGAGACAGGCACTTATACACTGTTAGAACAAGTACAAATTGATGGTCTTTCTAGAAAACAGTATGGCAAAGTATATGAAGGCTCTTAGCGTGTCACGTCTCTTCGTCTCCGCTATTTCTCTTGTCTGAGTCCCAACATCTATTGCTAGGAGCTTGCAGTAGGCTCTCAGCTGATTGCTATGCTTCTCTACCCCATTATAGTCTGTTTTCAACACATCAATCAGAGTGACCCTTTTCAAACATAAGTCAAAGCATGTTATTCTTCTGCTGAAAACCATGAGGTCTTTTCATTTCACTCAGAATAGAAGTCTAAGTCCTCATAGTGGCCTGTAAAGTCCTACATGAACTGGCCAGCCCTTTACCTCTCTGACTTCCTCTACTACTACTGCCCCGTCATTTGTTCCATTCCAGCCACACTGGCCTTTTTGCTATTCCTCCAACATTGTCCCATATGCTGTCCACTTTAGGGCCTTTGCACTGACTGTTTTGTCTGAAACATTCTTCCTTCAGCTATCTGCTTAACACTATCATTTCCTTCAAGCGTTTGCAAAAATAATACCTTCTCAATGTGTCTTACTCTGATTATTCTGTTTAATATTGCAGTGCCCTTACCCTCGACACTTTGGCACTTCTGATTCCCTTTACTTTGCCCATTTTCTCTTTTCCATAGCACTGAAGACTTTATGTTTAATATTTATCCAAGGGTGCCTTCTCCCACCCTCTTAGAATATAAACTCCACAAGGAAAGGGATCTTTGTTTTGTTCACTGACAAAAGCCCCTAAACCAGTGTCTGGCACCAAGTAGATACTCAAATTGTTGGATGGATGAACTTTAAAGATAGGCCTACCCGGCCGGGCGCGATAGCTCACACCTGTAATCCTAGCACTTCAGGAGGCCAAGGCAGGTGGATCATGAGATCGAGAGATCAAGACCATCCTGGCCAACATGGTGAAACCCCATCTCTACTAAAAATACAAAAATTAGCCGGGCATGGTGGCACACACCTGTAGTCCCAACTACTCGGGAAGCTGAGGCAGGAGAATCGCTTGAACCCAAGAGGCAGAGGTTGCAGTGAGCTGATACAGTGCCACTGCACTCCAGCCTGGCGACAGAGTGAAACTCCATCTCAAAAAAAAAAAAAAGGCCTATCCTTTAACCTAGAGATTTGACTTCTAGAATTCATTCCTAAAGAAATAATCAGTCAGAGATTTACTTAGGTTATTTTAGTTTGTTAGCTATTATAAAAGTGAAATTTTCTTTCTTTTTTTTTTTGAGACAGGGTCTCGCTCTGTCATCCAGGCTGGAGTGCAGTGGCGCGATCTCGGCTCACTGCAACCTCCGCCTCCCAGGTTCAAGCAACTCTCCTGTCTCAGCCTCCCAAGTAGCTGGAATTACAGGCATGCGCCACCACGCCTGCCTAATTTTTGTATTTTTAGTAGAGATGGGGTTTCACCATGTTGGCCAGGCTGGTCTCGAACTCCTGACCTCAAGTGATCCGCCCGCCTAGGCCTCCCAAAGGGCTGGGATTACAGGCGTGAGCCACTGCGCCTGGCCAAAAAGTGAAATTTTCAAACAACTAAAACAGGTAATGGTTAAATGATATATCTACATATGGAATATCATAAAGATATTAAAATAAGCCTTTCGAAGAATATGTGATTACATAAGTAATTGTTTATAATGTTAAAGTGAAAAAGAATATATAACGGTGTATACCCCTACCTCATATCATATATAAAAATTAACTCAAATGGATCGGTGATCTCAATATAAGCCAAAACTATAAAGCCGTTAGAAGAAAACATAAGGGTCAATCTTCATGACCTTGGATTTGGCAGTGGATTCTTAGATAGGACACCAAAAGCATAATCAACAAAAGAAAAAAATAGGTAAATTGGACTTAAATCAAAATTGAATTTTTTTTTGCATCAAAGGCAATATCAAGAAAGTAAAAGGACAACCCACAGAATGGGAGAAAATATTTGTAAGTAATACATCTGATAATGGTTTAATATTCAGCATGTATAGAGAACTTCTGCAGTATAACAGCAAAAAGACAAACCACCCAGTGAACAAATGGGAAAATGCCCTGTAATCCCAGCACTTTAGGAAGCCAAGGCAGGAAATCACTTGAGGCCAGGAGTTTGAGACCAGCATGAGCAATATAACACAAAAACAAAACAAAGCAAAAAAAAAAAAAAAAGGCAGGGCATGTTGGCACGTACCTGTAGGCCCAGCAGGAGGCTGAAGCAGGAGGATTGCTTGAGCCCAGGAGTTTGAAGCTACAGTGAGCTATGATCCTGCCATTATACTCCATCCTGGGTAATAGAACAAGACCCTGTCTCTAAAAAATAAACAAATAATTGTATTTTTTAAATTTATTATTATTATTTTTTTTTTACTTTTTTTTTTGAGATGGAGTCTCACTCTGTCACCAGGCTGGAGTGCAGTGGTGCCATCTCGGCTCACTGCAGCCCAGCCTCTTTAGTAGCTGGGACTACAGGCGTGTGCCACCACACCCAGCTAATTTTCGTTATTTTTTTAGTAGAGACAGGGTTTCCACCTTGTTTGTCAGGCTGGTCTCAATCTCTTGACGTCATGATCTGCCCGCCTCGGCCTCCCAAAGTGCTGGGATTACAGGCGTGAGCCACCACGCCCAGCCAAATAATTGTATTTTTAAATGGGAAAATGATTTGGATAGACATTTCTCCAGAGAGGATATAAAGATAGCCAATAAGTACACGAAAATATGCTCAACATCATTAGTCGTTAGGGAAATGCAAATCAAAACCACACGGAGATCCCACTTCACACTTTAACTATAGAATGGCTATCATAATAATAATAGAAAAGAACAAGGGTTGTTGAGGATGTAGAGAAATTTGAACTCTCATGCATTGCTGATGGAAATGTAAAATAGTACAGACATTGTGAAAAACAGTTTGGTGATTCCTTAAAAAGCTAAACATAGAATTACTGTATGACCCAACAATTCTACTACTTGGTATGTATCCCAAAGATTTGAAAACAGGTACTCAGACAGATGCTTACATGTCATTGTTTATTGTACCATTATTCACAATAGCCAAAAGGTGGAAACAACCTAGGCGTCCCTCAACAGATGAATGCATAAAGAAAATCTGGCATATACACATAGTGGAATATTATTCAGCCATAAAGAAGAAGAAAGTTATGGTACATGCTACAACATGAATGAACTTGAAGCACATTATGCTAAGTGAAAGAAACCAGACACAAAAGGACAAATAGTGTATGATTCCACTTACATAAAATAGGCAAATTCAGAGAGACAGAAAGTAGATTAGAGGTTACCAGGCTGAGTATTGGGGGATATATTGTTAATGGTTACAGAGTTTCTGTTTGGGATGATGAAAATGTCTTGGAAACAAATAGTGATGATAGTTGCATAACATTGTAAATGTCATTAATGTCACTGAATTATATATTTAAAAATGGTTAAAATTGTAAATTTTATATTACACGTATTTTACCATGATAAAAAAATTTCAAAAAATCTCCCAAACCGAATATAGTATACTGTGGTGAGCTGGAGCTGGTCTGTGTAAGCTCTTGAGAGTTGATTGTGGGCGCCTCTTCCAAGCTACTCATTCAGTGATGTTGGTAGCATCAAATTGGTCATGGTGGAAGCATTTATGCCATGGCAGTTGGCAAATGCTGCAAAGCAGCTCCCATTTCCAACCCCTTTGAGCCTGTTGTTAAATATTTACCAGCACACCACTGAATATATGTGTATATAAATGTGTAGAAAGCCATCTGGAAAGATAGATGTCAAACTGTTAATGATGTTACCTCTGGGGAGGAGAGTAGTATTGTGGCAGGAATGTGAAAGTAAACTTGAACATAAAAACTATAAACTTCTATGTTACTTCCATTGTTTGTTGTTTTTTTTTGGGGGGGGTGCGGGGGAGATGGAGTCTTGCTCTGTCGCCTAGGCTAGAGTGCAGTGGTGTGATCTCGGCTCACTGCAGCCTCCACCTCCCGAGTTCAACTGACTTTCCTGCCTCGGTCCCCATAGCAGCTGGGACCGTAGGCGCCCACCACCACGCCTGGCTAATTTTTGTATTTTTAGTAGAGACGGGGTTTCACCATCTTGGCCAGGCTGGTCTCGAACTCCTGACCTCGTGATCCACCTGCCTCAGCGTCCCAAAGTGCTGGGATTACAGGCGTGAGCCACTGTGCCTGGCCACTTCCTTTTTTTTTTTTTTTTATTTTTATGGTGAGCATATAGACATATTTCTTGTATCGCTTTTAAAAAATAGACCAAAAAGTCTGCATATATTGGGATTTTGGTATTGGTAACTTTTCTCTTGAGAGGCTGAAAACTGGTCACATATGCTATCTGAAATAGCCCATGGAGAGACTGAAGGCCAAGCCTAGGACTTGGATTCTATTTCCTCAAAAATCTGCTTTGTTTGTTTGTTTTTTGCCTAACTAAATAAGTGTTTTCTTATCTCTCTGTAGGTTACCCCACAGCCTATCCAGCAGCTGCCCCTGCCTACAATCCCAGCCTGTACCCCACCAATAGTCCCAGTTATGCTCCAGGTAAAGAGAAAATGGGGACCTAGCAGTGGCAAATGGGGTAGGAAGGGGGATTCTATTTGGAAAAAGAAAACCACTTGCTGGCCTTTTCCTGTTCTTAATTGCTCCGGTCCCAGCCTGTCCAGGCTTGATTTTCCTGGGAGTCCCCTCTGGGAACTGGGACAATCAGCCTCAGGGTGGGGGCGGGAATAGAATCTCCTCCACTCTGTCTGGGACTTAAGGTTGACTCATCTCTCCCACGCTGGAATATCTGAGACCTGCATCCTCCTCATAGAACCTTTTCTGCTCTCCCAAGCAATGCCCAAATTCATTCTCTGCTGAGTTTTCCCTGAGGCTGCCACTGGGACACACATACACCTTGGGACACACACACACACCCCTACACACCTTGGGGCACACACACATGCTCTTGCCACCAGAGGGTAAAGAGCTGTTTTTCAAGCTGAGATAAGCTACTTGTTTTTCAAAAGTAATAAAGGCCCAACACTTGGATTGAGGTTGAAATGGGTTTGAAAATGTTGAAAAGGTTTTTTCTATTTTGGGCTCGGAGCATTGCAGCAGTCTTAGTTCTGATCTTAACCCTCATGCTCAGTTGGTGCTCTAATACTCAAGAGCAGGAGAAAGAGTATGGGCTCTGTGGTTAGAAAGTCCTGGGTTTGAATCCTGATTACCCAACTCACTAGTTCTAAGGCCTTGGGCAAGTCACCTCACCACTCTTAAGATTCAGATGTGACTGCCTGCCTCAGGATTGTGGATGGTTTTATGTAAGTTCCATTTACTCAACAAGTATTTGTTGAATGTCTTCCATACTGGGATAAAAAAATTAAAAGATGCCATCTTTGCCTGCCTGAAGTAGCTCCCATTTGGGAATCTGGCATATAAACTCATTGCAGTACTAATCTGCTAAGTATTATAAAAAGGAATACATATAAGGGAAGGAGGAGGGAACAACAGTCTGCCTGGGGGTGAAAGTGTAGGGGAGGCTTCAGAGAATGGAGAACAATAGAGATTTGAAGGAGAAGTAGAAGCTGTTCTTTAAGCACACAAGGAATAATGGGCATTCCAGGCAGAGTAGAGCATGGGCAGAGGCTTAGAGATGTGAGAACATGACACTGTGAGGAACGTAGAAGTAGGGGAGTGGTTAAACTGTGAGCAGCTAGATGAATCTGAACTATAGATATACAAGGGCCGGATTTGGAGAGGCCTTGAATCTCCTGATAATACGCACCCCCCCGCCCGCCAACCCATGCCATTTTCTTGTTTAGCACTTATCGTTATAGAATTAGAAAGCTTCAAAAGACCTTAGAGATCCTCCAGTTCAACCTCTTCTCTTGACAAAGGAGAAACAAAAAGCAGTGTTTTGTCCCAAGTTACCCAGTGAGTCAGCATTCGCATAGGGACTAGAATCTTTGGCAGATCTCCTGACTCTCGTCCTATGCTTTTCTCTGCCAATCTAGTGTTTATTCTGCTGTCATTCTCTTTCTTGGGGCTTACTTAAAGGAGGAAAGAATACAGGTTATCTGAAGACCTAGATTTGAGTCCTCACTCTGTCATTTCCTAGATTCGCAACCTTAAAGTCACCTGACCTATTTGAACCTCATTTCCCCCATCTCTAAGTAGGAATCATATCATAATTATGCACACATACCATGAAGTTATCAGACAGCCCCTCTTTTTGGGACAAACAAGAACTATTTTATGTAAATAGGTGATGGTATCCCCTAAGGTGCTTACATAGATGTGTCATTTCACAGACATTTTGACCCACCCTGTTATGCCCAAGACACTTTGGAAGACCTTGTAGAGGATTCAAACTTGAGGAAGCTGTAATCACTGCCTTTGGAAAGCTTTTGAAGGGAGCAGTGACACATGGGCTAAAGTTCTATAATGGTATCTCAGCATTGGTTTTATATTTACCTTTAGTCAATATGACATATAATATTTTCTCCAAGATCTATGATAGAAGACAAAAATAATAAAAGCTACAGAAATTCTCTCTGATAATCAAATTTGGTAAGTTCTATCTTAACTACAATGGCTTCGAGGATCATGTATATCATATATAAATAAATGATTTAAATTTAAGTGCTATGAGATCTGTGAACTGACTTTGTAAACTGTCTAGACTAAAACAAAATGAGTTGTTGCAGAAGGTCAAGTAAGATCAAGAATGAAGAAGATTCATTGTCTTTCTAGTGAGGAGGCCATCAGTGACCTCATTGGAAGCATTGTCAGTGAGGTGGTGAGGCTAGAAACCAGAGTGCAGTGAATCAGGAGACAAGAAGTAGATTTAGCATATATAGCCTATTCTTACTAGAAGCTTAGCTACCAGGAAAGGAAAAACAAAAGGACACTGACTAGAAGTGAATGTAGGGTTGAAGGAAGGTTTTCTCGGATATGAGTGTGGGGTACTGATAGGAAGGTGCAAGTGGAGAGGACAAGTCAGAGACACAGGAGAGGTGGTGACAGTCAGAGCCAGGCCTCCACAGAGGCTGCTGTAGGGGTGGGAAATCTGGAGCTCAGTTCTCTTCTTTGGTTTGGGAAGTTGAGTAGCGGGTGGAGACAGGGTGCCACACGCAGGAGGGCAACTAAAGGAAAGACTAAAGGAAACGTGACAGGTAGATATGCTTAGAATAAATTGCCCAGTGGAAAGTGGAGAGTTCTCATCTAATGACCTTGATTTGCTTAGACAGAGGGGAGTAGGGATCAAGGGAGGGTTCTTAACCAGGGAGGTCAGGATGTGAGAGCCTCACAGGAAGGAGTAGGACTGGAAACTACCAAAAGATAACAGAGTAGGGTCACACTGGGGGCCTGTCTGAGTGGTAGAGGCTGCGAATTTGTCCAGGCTCTCATGCCCAGCACTGGGCTATTTTCTCATAATGTTCAGCACTTCTAATGATAGATTGTGGGATTGTTTTAGAATCAGTTTGCCAATAAGTGGAAGGACATGGAATAAATAGCTACTGTTTGTTGAATGTTTTCTATATGTCAGAAACTATTTGAAGTTCTTTATCTATATTAGCTTGTTGCATATTGCAATAAACTTTTGAGGTTGGTACCCTTATTATCCCCATTTTCCAAATGGGAAAACTAAAGCTTAGAGAATTTACGTAACTAGCCCAAAGATCCAAGCCCCGCACCTTGCCATTATGCCACATGAGCTCTTAACTGCTACACTGTAGTTGTGTCAGTGGGCCAGAGAGAAATTAAGGCATTAGACTGGCTAAAGAGGGAAAGGAGTGCAGATAGGAGGAGGCTGAAACTGTAGGGAAAAAAAGAGAGATTGAGATTGAGTGCATCCTGGCATGTGTATTCAGCTTTAATTTTAAAACAAGCAAAAAGTAAGCCCTCATCTAACTTGATTTTCCCCAATTTTGTTTTTAAAAGTCAACATATTTCTACTAGAGTCACCCAGACTGTTTTCTCAAAAACGCACAAAATCCACAAGAGAGGGTAATGCTAGAATACTGTATTTAAAGACCCCAAACTCAGAGTTGAAAGACCTAGGTTGTAGCAGTAGCTTTGCTTCTGATTTTGATGTGACCTTGGGAAGATCCCTTTCCCTTTGAGTTACTTACACACACGCGCGTGCGCACACACACACACACACACACACACACACACACACACACAGCATATTTTGGAATGCTGGCCTCTGGATTCACAGTGCAGGTTTCCTGACTGTGGGGGACTTCCTACCATGGAGAAGCTGGCTCAAGGTCAGAGAGGACGGTGTAGGTTACTCTTACCTTCCTGCCAGAGCCAGCCATTTGTGATGCAGAGAGGTGCCTTCAGAAGGAACCAGGCTCTTAGGTTTAAATTTCTTTCAGCTGCTTTAAGGAGACCAAGAAGTTGCTTGAGAGAAAGCTATTTTTAGCAGCTCTGAGTACCCTAAGATGTCATCTGTCCAGGATGCAGGGAAACATTTCACTCTTTTCATTGGTTCTGAAAGCAATGTGGGTATTTGGAGCTTTTTCCCAAGCTCTTAATGATTTCAGGGATCTTATTTAAGAACTCTTTGGCCCCATAAGAGGTAGAAGCCAATCAAGACTTGGCTTTTAGAATCTAGGGACCTATTAATGGTAACCTGGCTTGAAAATAAATGAAGGGATGGATAAACAGATTAACTAATACAGATAAAAATAAAATAACCTCCTCATGAGAATCTGTTGACAAAAACATTTTCCCCTATTGTCTCATTTGATTTCATAGCATCCCTGTAAAGTAGAAATACACTATTCCCATTTTACATGCAACAGACTTGGAGAAGAGTAGGGAAAAGGAATTTGTGCTTTCTGAACAGCTGCCCTGTTCCAAGCCCTGCACAAGTCATGTTACAAACGTTCATTTTTACCTTAGTCTTGTAAGTTAGGGCTTCCTGCCTCCAACTTTGTTCAGACAGGTTAAATAAGTTGCCCAAAGTTATACAGCTAAAAACCAGTAGATTTGGGAGGGCAAGGCAGGAGGATCCCTTGAGGCCAAAGGTCAAGACCAGCCTGGGCAACATGATAAGACCCTGTCTCTACAAAAAATTAAATTAAAAAAAATAGGCAGGCTTGGTGGCACGCACCTGTAGTTCCAGTTACTTAGCAGGCTGAGACAGAAGGATCACTTGAGCCCAGAAGCTGGAGGCTGCATTGAGCTATCATTGCACCACTGCGTTCCAGCCTGGGCAACAAAGTGAGACACCATCTCCAAAAAAAGCAGTATAGCTGGGATTCAAACCCAACTTGTCTGACCCCACAACCTGTGCTCCTTCTATAGCACCACAGTGACCCACAGGCTTCAGGGATGGAGTGCCTCTGCATTGGTCGTATCTCAGAGGTTTTACAGATAGCTCTTTAGAGGCCAAAGATGGTGATATTGTCTCTGAACCTTCACTTCCTCTAACACAAAGTCTCTGTCATATGTGAAATCCCTCTGCAGTTCCTGGGATAACTGAAATGTATTATAAGAGACAAGCAAAAAGCAGGAACTTGGGCTTGTTCACATCCAGGCAGCTCTGGGTCAGCTGCCTGGAAGACACTATGGCATCCAGGGGCTCTCTGCATTGAATGGACTTTCCCAGATGACAAGTCTGTCACCCTCTCTAGGGTAAAAGTGCTTCACATCTTTATTTACTGTTTTTGTGAAGCTGGGGAGAAACTGCTATTGCAAAACAAAGTCTGTTTATGTAACTGCAATGTATACAACTTTGCACAAATTCTTAGTGGTAATTTCAACTAACATTTCTATCCAACAGAGTTTCAGTTCCTGCATTCAGCTTATGGTAGGAAAGCTATTTTTCCTCATCTGTATTACAGCCTATGAATGTGTTAATCTTGTAACAATGGTAGATCCCCTCTCCTTTCCTCCCCAAATCCCATCCCCTAGGCTTGGGCTCCCCCCAGGTGGCTCAGCAGCAGTTCCTAAAGCATGCAGGAACATGTCTGATGGTGCCAAAATCATGGGTTGGAGACACACATGAACCGTCCCTAGGGCAGCAGCAAAGGATCATGGCATTAAAAGGTGTCTTGTCACCCTAACCTGGCTGCTGAATTCAAACAAATGAACAAAAATTCCAGGACCTGTACACAGCTCCTCAGTTGGCTTTGTGGCAGCCTCTGTGAAGGAGTACCTGGATTATGCCTATTAGAACCCAAAAAACTAGTTTGCCCCAGGATCAGATTTTCCATCTCCATCGGCAGTCTGACATGTTTGAAGACCTGGTTGACTTGAGATACAATCTGTTCCCTTAGCCCAGAACTTGAGCTCTGGGCTCATTTTCCTAGAAGATGCTGAGAGGTGGAGGGGGGTGGGTGGGGCAAGCGTGCTAATAAATGAGGAACCAGAACTGGGTTCTCTGGACAGTGTGGACTCCAGGCCCAAGGCACCACGGGAACTTCTGGGCACCTGTGAGGGTCCCAGCAGTATAACTTGACTAGGTCCTTTTTGTCATAGACAGGAAGGGACCATGGGAGGGACTTGCAACTTTTACCACCCTCACCTGGGCTGTTCAGGAAAATGTTTTTGTAAAATCTCTGCACCCTTTCTCAACTTTTAACCTTGAATTATTTGGATGCTGGAAATTGAATTTGTGTATCGCGCATCTGTCAGGAGATGAGCTGTGAAATTTCTCCTTGCCACTGCTGTGGGCTGTGTGATCTTGGGCAATTTACTAATGTCTCCAGGCCATAGATAAATTGTTTAATTTCACATGATCTCTGAGGTCCCTTTAAATGCTAATACATTGTCCTCTTATAATTTTATTACTTCAATTTTGTTAGTCGCAGACCTGTTTCTCATATAGTCATTTTTTGTTTGCCTCAGGATATGTGAACCTGGACAGAAGGGTGCATAAAATAAGTTAGAGAAGTTCTCATTCTTCCCCTTCCAGTTATAGCATCTGAAATAGATCTGCGTAAAGAATACGGATGGAGCTCTTCACTTTATAAAATTCTGTGCCAGGCCCTAAGATGGCCCTTTGAAAATATGAAGACTAGTAAGACAAGGGGCTTGTTCTCAAGGAGCTCACAGTTTAGTGGAGAGAAGACATGCTATTAAGCACAGGTGCTTCCAAGAATCATAGGGATTGGGATAGTCAGTTTATAGGGATGCATGAGAGAGCTGTGTTTAAGGGGTGGGGAGAAGGAAAGGCTTCATAGTAGGTGTGAGTCTTCAGCTCATGATTGATGGATTAATTAATGTTACCAGATGGAGTTTGGGGAGAGACATGCCAGAAGAGGTAGCAGTGTGGACAAAAACATGGAGATGTGAAGCTCCTTGGCATATTCTGGGAATGATAAGCAGTTTCTGTGGCTGTAGTATGGGCAGGAGATTGACAATAGTGAGAGAGTCTAGAGAGGTCATTGGGACAAGATGATCATGGTGGGGCATTGAGTGCTACACAGGAGTTCAAACTTTAGCTTAGAGTCAGTGGAGAACTATGGAATGTTTTCAAGAAAGGGGGTTTTATGATTAGGTTTAGGTCTTAGGTATATCGCTCTGAATGCAGCTTGAAAATTGGAGGGAGCAGATTTAACATGAGGAAGCAGTTGCAGTAGTTGAGATGAGAGATGATGAGAGCTTCAGTTAGAGCTGTAGCCTATAACTTTGGAGATGGAAGAGGGGATGGATACCAGAACTAGAAATTAGAAGACTAGGTGACACTTTATTTTTGACCCTCACATCAGTACTATGAAGCAATCAAGGAGTGATGATTATTGCCATTTTATGAGACAACAAAACTGAAGCTTAGAAAGGTTAAGTGACTTGCCCAAGATCCCACAGCTATTAAGTGGCAGAGCCCAGGCTACAACTCAGATTTCCTGACTCAGTGCATTGTTCAGGATGATGGTCCCTTGCTGCCTCGTCTCCTTGTAAATGTGCTTAACAGATTGTTCAACTGTCAGAGGGCGTGAGGGCCCCGTATCCAGGAAAGTGAACAACCCAGCACCTGGATGTGGGCAGCATGCTGTGACTGGGCCCATGGCCCTTCACTGCCAAGGGTTCTCTCTCTCTCTCTCATTTAATTGAGGGATAACACATAGACAGCAAAGTATATAAAGTACACTAATCTTAAGTGTACAGCTTAATAATGTCTTTACATATGTATATGCCTATATTTAACTACCTCAGTTCAAAATACAAAACATCTCTAGGAAGTGGTACTTTTCAGGCACGCAAAGGCAGGCATGCCGTTCTGAGCAGCCTCCTCTGTGACCATGCCTCTAAAAGCTTCAGTTGGAATTGTCTTCATCCCACAACTGAGCTCTGAATTGTTCCCACCAATAGAACAGGTGACTTTAGAATTATATACAGAGGGGCTGGATCACATGGTACGACTAACTAATGGGGAGGTCAAGTTGACAGCTAGTATTTGTTTTTTCATGTGTTTTCACATTTATCTAGTTATTTAAATTATAAGGATTCAAACATACAGAGACGTACAGAAAATACTAATTCATTTGCTTTATAATGAAACCAGAAGAAAATAAAGAAAAATATTTTTATTCAGAAAAATATATAGTATAGTTCACGTCATCAGTTGGAAAAGACATAGTAACCAAAGGCACGGTCGCACTTGCTTCTTTCCTGGTTAACCTGGAACATGATTTTACTATGTATCATGCTGTCTTGTTCACTCCCTGGTTGGCGTGTGGCTGTGTTGCATCCCCAGCTAGACCATAAGTACCTTGTGTGCGGTGACTGTGACCCAGGTGTGTTCCCTCCTACCCGCGGCGCTCCCCTCAGTGCTGAGTGCAGTGTAGGCCTCAGTCACTCTTTGGATAAAAGAGTGATTTACTCTTTTGTAAAGAGTAAGTTAAGTTAGACTTACTAACTTTAATGGTCACACAGTCCTTCAGGCTAATGTCAGACTTTTGGCTTATGATGAAAATTATGGTAAAGTGTATACCACTTGGAGGAAAAAATTTGAATGGAATAGAACCTCCAAATTCTCTAAATTCTTACAGCTAAATTCAGGCCTCCTGCCCCCTGATGGTGTTCCTGTGGGGTCTTAAGGGCATGGGCTTGCTTTATCTGACTTTTCAGAGCTACATGTTTTACTTTTTAGAGAGTTGTTTTGGGTGGCCACTGCTTTCCAGCCACATGTGTTGCAGAGTCTAAATTTGGAGACATGTTTATAAGATTTGTTAACACTAATTGGATTCTTTACCCCTTTCCTGTTTCCCACCCCCCAAAGAAAAGAAACGCAAAATGATTGTTTAAAACGGACTATCCTCCTCCTGCATTGTCTGCAGAGCCATGTCTTGATGTCCAGGAAAGGCCCTGGGCTCTACATGGAGTTCTGCTGAGTCTCCATTTCTCTTAACAGAATTATCCTTTTAGTGTGACTTTCCTGCCCATGATTTCCTTCTCATTTCTCAGCATCTGCTGTATATATCGCAGACCATTAATGCAAACACAGAGTCAGCCTACAATAGCCATAATTCTAGTCTTGGTTCAACAAAAACAGCACAGTCCTTGACCTTCTCTGGCCCCAGTACTTCTGGGATAGAAGGAACCAGAGGTATTACCTGTAACCTGAATGGGCAGAGAGGGTTACGGGATCTCTCTAGAGGTAGAATGTCCTTGTCCTGGTGGAATTAGAGAGTGTATAGGCATACTTTATTCTCATAACACCCTGTCTTAACCTCTTATTTAAATGTTTTACGTATTGCCAATGTAGCCCCCACCTTCTGCTAATATACTATGTAACACCCTGTATCCATGACCCCCCCAAGACTTTGAGTGGAAAAGATGTTGCTAAAATTATTCTTTTTACCATAAACAGAAATTTGAGTCAAGAATGTTTCCCCTCTAGTGTTTGAAATTATAACAAAGAAAATGTCTGAAAAGTTAGGCAAGTCCCACTTCAGAACTCTGTTTCTTTTCTCCTTCCCCCTCAGGACACCACGAAGGTAAGTTATTTGAGTCACTCCCCACTTCTAAAACCTATCATCCTTCAGATGTCTCGAGCTGAGCTTTGAGTCAGCCTGGGAAGTCTCTGCACATCTTAAACTGGGCCTCATCTATATTTCATACCTACCCCAAATTTCATATGTGCTTTCTTAATGGCCCAAAGGACCACCTCTAATTCATGAGGAGATATCCCACATGGGGCATCCAGTAACACGTGAGTAGGAGATATTCAGGGGTATGCAAGAAGTATGTCTGGCCTCAGCTGGGTGTACAGGAGAAGGAGTTATTAGCAAGGAGTACCCACTAGCTAACTAGGTTCAGTGCAGCACAGTGCCCAGTGCCTTTTAAGCTACCATGGCCACAGCTCAGTCCCTTCAGAAGGGATGGTAGTCCAACAAGGTTCATGTAATGTGGTCATTATTTGTGGGCCTGTCTTTGAAAGCAGCTTATAAATATACCTCCAGATGGTATTTCAGACAACCAAGAGTGCTCAACTGATCTGGTGAACACACAAAGGCTCCCACGTTGCTACACGTTAATGGGAAAGTGACTGAGGAATATATCAGAGCCTTAGGCCACAGTGTCAGGTAGTAGGAGATGGCATTCATGGGCATCTTTGTGGTTTTAGTAGTAGGTAGAAAATCCTGACTCTTTTAGTATAAATTCAGATTTCCTTGATTTCAATCATTTGGAAACATACTTCAGCATTCCTCCTAACCCACTTAACCATCTCAGAAAGGCTGAACCATCCTGTGTGTCTGAACAAGCCCCTTGGGTTGTATGTTTCTGTCTAGCACAAGACCCTTGCTTTGTGTCTGTGATTGGTGGTGGCCACTTCTTATTTCTGCCTAATGCCATTCTTGTGTCTTCCCTTAAGCAACTCTGCTGATGAAACAGGCCTGGCCACAGAACTCATCTTCCTGTGGCACTGAAGGCACCTTCCACCTCCCAGTGGACACCGGGACCGAGAACCGAACTTACCAAGCATCCTCTGCGGCTTTCAGTAAATACAGCCTGTCTCCTTTTCTTGTTCCCCTTGGTTGGGACTGATTTGTTTCTTAGGAAGAAAGGAAAGGGAGCTTTTAAAAATGACATTTATGAGATAAATACTGTTTTAAGAGGTTCTTTTACCCAGGCAAAAAATTGGCCCTCCTTATTCAAGAAAGGTCATCCTCTTTGATCATGCACTCAGCTTTGGGGAGACACAAAGCACTGAGGGAGGGAGAAGGAAATACTCACCTAGCCAACAAGTTGATTGGGGAAGGACTATTACTGCTTTTTAGGGGGAAAAGACAGAGGGCACATTTTGAAGGTCTGTGGGTCTTTGGACAGAGAGGGCTCCCCCTCTAGCACAGGGCTTCTTAGTCTCAGCACTATTAACATCTAGACCAAATCATTCTTTGTTATGGGGGCGCTGTCCTGTGCATTATAGGATGTTTAACAGCATCCCTGGCCTCTACCCTACATGCCAGTAGGAAAGCCTCATTATGACAACCAAAAATGTTTCTAAACATTGCTAAATGTCCCTTACAGGGCAAAATTGCCCTCTGTATGAGAAACACTGCCCTAGTGGAAGCTGCACTGTGGGACCAAGATGTGTATGAGGAGTCTTCAGGGAGGCCAGAAACCAGCTAGCCAGTCAGACTCGTCATATTCATCCTGAGGCTCAGTAGGGTAACTGATGTTGTCACCTTCACATCTAATTTTTAACACAAAGTGGTTCCACCGGGGAAATGAGGACGAATGTTTAGAAATTACTGAGTGGCATTTTGACTCCATATAAGGAAGAACTTTGTGTCTTGTCGGAGCTGTTCAACAGAGGAATGACTGACTTTGGATGTGGTGAGAACTTATCTCTTAAGTTGTAAGGGCTGGACAAGCCCTCACAGGGATAGTCCAGACAAGGCCTGATAGTGTGTGTTTCCACAAATTATTAATCTACTAAGTAAGTAGACTAGAAGAATTCATTGTATTTTTTTCTTTTCTTTTCTTTAAAACATCTGTGTTAGTCTGTTCTTGTGTTATTATAAAGAAATACCTGAGGCTGGGTAATTCATAAAGAAAAGAGGTTTAATTGGCTTCCAGTTCCACAGACTGTGCAAGCATGGTACCAACCTCTGCTTAGCTTCTGGTGAGGGCCTCAGGAAGCTTACAGTCATGGCGGAGGGTAAAAGAGGAAGCCAGCATATTATATGGTGAGAGAGAGAGCAAGGGGCTGGGAAGGTGCCACACTCTATAAATAATCAGAGCTCACTCATCAACAAGGGGATGGTGCTAAGCCATCATGAGGGATCCACCCCTATGATCCAATACCTCCCAGCAGGCCCCATTTCCAACACTGGAGGTTACATTTCAGCATGACATTTGGAGGAAACAAACATCTAAACCATATCAACATCCAATGTCATTTTCTCCTGAATTTTCATTGCCCCTAGATGTCAACGTCAGTTTATGTTTATACAACATAACTCACCTTTTGTAAAATGTACTTTCATAATCACCCTCTAATTTAATCTACACTACACTCCTACTAAGTTATTTAGGTGGATTTTCATCCTAGTTTGAAAGACGAGGCTCAGAAAGGTAATAGGTCCAACGCCACCCAGGTAGTAAGCAGCACAGCCGGAAAAAGATATCACCCAGGTTAAGATTCTATTACTGACTTTTTTTCATGAGATTGATTTGACTCTTTAAGAGAGGTATGTCAGGCCGGGCGTGGTGGCTTACACCTGTAATACCAGCACTTTGGGAGGCCGAGGCGGGCGGATCACGAGGTCAAGAGATCGAGACCATCCTGGCCAACATGGTGAAACCCCGTCTGTACTAAAAATACAAAAAATTAGTCGGGCATGGTGGCAGGCGCCTGGAGTCCCAGCTACTCAGGAGGCTGAGGCAGGAGGATGGCATGAACCAGGGAGACAGAGCTTGCAGTGAGCCGAGATCGCGCCACTGCAAGATCCAGCCTGGGCAACAGAGCGAGACTCCATCTCAAAAAAAAAAAAAAAAGAAGAGTATGTCAGCCATAAGGAGTTTCTCCAGATACCTCAGGTAGAATGAATGAACATACGTAAGATTACATATATATATATATATTTATATATACTGTAGTGTAGTGTAGCAGAAAGCAACCTGGAGTGGAAGCCCAAAGCTTTGAATCCTAGACTGGGTTCTGTGTAACCTTGGATAATTGATGTCCATGCATTGGACCTTGATTTTTCAAACTGCAAAATGAGGGAACTGAACTAAATCATCTCGAAGGTTCTTTCTTGCAATCAGACTCCTTATCTCTCAGCAAGATGATGTGTACTGAGTGTCTTCCACCCTAACAGGGACCTCCTCTCTAGCTGCCCTTAACAGTAGCTGGCCAGCAAACCATCTCCAAAAATGGAGTACTCATTCCCTTCAGAGGCAACCCTTTCCACAGTTGGAAAGTCTGAGTAACAGAAGGCCTTGCCTTCTACTACGTTGAAATCTTTCCGAATTCCCATTAAGTGTCCAGCAGCCACATCCCACTGTTCCCTCCCAGACAGGCTATCACAGTCCCTGAAAAAGACCAAAATATACCCACCCCCACCTTTTTTTTGAGACAAGGTCTTGCTCTGTCACTCAGGCTGGAGTCCAGTGTCACAATCACATCACACTGCAGTCTCAAGCTCCTAGGCTCAAGCAATCCTCCCACCACAACCTCCCATGTAGCTGGGGCCACAGGCATGCAACACCATGCCCAGCTAATTTTTTAATTTCTTGTAGAGATGGGGTTTTGCCACATTGCCTAGGCTGGTCTCAAACTCCTGGGCTCAAGCTGTCTGCCCACCAGCTACCATGCCTGTCTTACCTCTCTTTTAAGCAAGTAATGTATAAACCTATGCCATTTTTTAATGCAGTTGGGGTTGACTGGCCCTCCCATACTCAAAAAGATTCCTGCCAGCATTCAGATTTTGTGGCTTCTAGTACCACAGAAAATTGAGGGCACTTTGACAAATTCAGTTCAATTTCACTGACACTTGCCAAGCCTGTTTGTAATTAGGTTTCCTACTTATTCATCACTGTCTTACTTGGCTACCAACAAGGAGTCTTAGGGGTCAAAGCAAGATTCAGACATAGAACTCTATTTTGTCCAGACATATAAATCTGATGATCAATAAACCGATTAGTCTAAAAGGCATCCGTAATGTGAGGATCAATGCCTTTGAAGGTGGTAGGGCTTCTACAACTGAAAAAGATTTATGACAGCAAGAAAGGATTGCAGAAAGGGTTGAAAAGGTTTTATCTTGTTAATGTACATACTCTTTTTATTATCCCAGTTGATGGATTCTAAAATTATGGTTAGGAACCTAAGAGAAAGAATAGGACATCATAAACAAAGCCTCTTTTATAAGGCAGAGCTGGGACTTCTAGTGATTGAATTCCTTTTTTCTTTCATGATATTGCCTTTAGTGAAATGGGGACAACAAAGGCCAGTATATTAAATGCCCAAGATTGGACTACAGAGACTTTAACTCAGCAAGAGCTCTACCTAGGGCATGGTGAGCCCTGAACTTTGGGCCCAGCTCTGTACTGATATGCTGTACAATTTGGGGAAAATCCGTCCTTCTGGGCTCCAGATTCTTTCTCGGAAAGGGAGAAGGTTGAATATAAACCTCTAATGTCCTTCAGGCACAACATTCCAAAGTCTTAATTCTGTGACCTTTAGACTTAGAATTCCTTTCAGGATAGCCAGGCCTCCAGTGAGTGAATTGAGTCTAAGTTCATTTGGGCAAAATCTGTGAGCCTTTTTTGCAGCAAGCCCAATAGCTTCTTTTACTTAGATGCACAAAGTAATAAATCCTGATTTTTGTGTTACCCAAGCTCAGGCTATAGCTCCAGGGGAATTTTTAGTGTTCCTCAACAGTATTGACAGGACTACCAGTAAGTTATGGAAAGTCCTCTGCAATGATTTCCTCATGAAAGTCTTCTGAAATACTCAGTGACTTAGAATGTCAGCACTAGAAATGTTCTCTGATACTGTGTAATCCAAATGAGGATATTCCCTGAGAGAGGAATTGACCTGACTTACTGACAGAACCTAGGATGAGGGCCCCCAAGCAGTTTCTGCAGCTTCATGAAGATCCTCCTGACAAACAGTAACCTTGAGAACCACTGTGGTTAGAGGAAGTAGCTCTGAGTCTTAGATCCCCACAAGCAGCTCTCTCTTTCAGCAACTACTCATTATCTCACCTGTGAAATGTTTATGTTGGTCTTAATGATCTCTGAGTCTTCTAGCTCTGCAGTTCTGCTTCTCCCATCTCAGACTGTCTGGACAAACAAGCAAGGCCTTCTGCAGCATCATCTCTTTGACTGCCAAGGGTGTTTTGGCTACTGATTTGTATTCTGAGTATGTGTGTGTCTCATTTCATAACATAAAGAAAGGGAAACATTCTCAGACAAGGTTATTCTTAGATGTGGGAACCAAATTCTGCTGCAGTCTCTTGGAGCTTTTTGATTTTCCTCAGAGGGATGGTCTCACCACTTTGTAATATGGCTGTCCTTGTGGCATAGAGTGGGTAATCCAGCTTCCCCAGGGAAGAGAAAAATTCCAGAGCACATTCTCCAGGAGCATAAAGGAAAGTCATCAGCATCGTTGGCCTGTTAACTTTAAAGAATCATAAAATCATAGCATTTTAAGCCATAACATTTTAGAATCTTAGAATCCTGGAGTCTGTGTTTCAAGCTGGGACAGACCATAGTAGTCATAGTTTAGCTTTAGTCTCTCAGACCAGGCTCTGCCTGCATACCCTTAGGACAGAAGCTTACTGTCTTTCTATAAAGTGAGAAAGAAAATAATAATAACTGATCTTTATAAAGTGCTTCTAATATGTCAGGTACTGTTCTAAGTGCTTTTTACTTAACAATTAATGCATTTATCACAGGAACCCTATGAAGTAGGTACCATTACTGTTCCCATATCATACACAAGGAGACTGATGTATCCTACAGCTATTAACTTGCAGAGCTGGGGGTTTGGACCCAGGCAGTCAGTCTGTCTCCAGACTGCTCATAACCACGGCTCTGTGCTACAGAGCTTTCAGAAACAGGCGTCTTCTGATTCAGGGGTGTCCTACTCTCCTGCATAGAAAATGGATGCTTTCAGCTCTGCTAGGATTCTCTACACCTTGATATATTCCTTTAAATCAGGGGTCAGCAAACATTCCTGTAAAGGCTTTTCAAAGGCCATATGCTCTCTATCAGTAACTACCATTGTAGCAGGAAAGTAGCCTTAGTCAATATGTAAATGAGTGGATGTGGGTGTGTTACAGTAAAACTTTGTTTACCAAAACTAGCTTCAATTACAAAAAACATGGCTGAAATTTAATTGTTGTAAATGTTTATAGTATGAATAAAAGATTCTGTGGTAAAATTAATTTGGAAAACACAGTCTTGTACATATTCCCATCTTAGAGATTCACAGTTCACCCCCCCACCTTCTTTAAGAGACAGGGTCCTGCAGTCACCCAGGCTGAAGTACAGTGGTGTGATCATGGTTCACAACAGCCTTAGACTCCTGGGCTCAAGCCATCCTCATGCCTCAGCCTCCCAAGTAGCTGGGCACTGCACCAGCCACCATGCCTGGCTACGTTTTTTTTCTTTTTTTTTTAGAGATGTAGTCTGTCTATGTTACCCAGGCTGGCGTTGAACTCCTGGTCTCAAGTGCTTCTCCCGCCTTGGCCTCCCAAAGTGATGGGATTATAGGTGACAGCCATCACATCCAGCCCACCCTATTGTTTTAAAAACTTCTCAGGGTCGTGGAATAAAAACAAAATCATAATTGTTTAATCTCTGTTTTACATTGTGACTTCACAAACATATGGGACTACAGAACTCTTTTCTTTCCTTTTCTTTGGCAAAAACAACTATTAAGATCCCTTGGAATCTATAGTCTGTTGTCCGCATTTGGGAAATGTCTATCTCTGGTTTATCTATAAACACCTTTGTTTATAGATAAGTAAATTGTGTCTCCGTACACATCAGATGGTTCCTTCTAGACATCTGCAAAGCTGAACTCCCTGTCTCCCTCACAGAATCTGCTTCTCCTCCTGTGACCACATTTCATGATTAGCTCCATAATCTGGAAACTTTGAGGAATCTGCTCTAGACTTCTCACTCAGCTCATAGTCCCACTTCCAGTTAGTTTCTACTTCTCTTTAACATGCTTCCCTCTCTTTAATATGTCCTTTCCACTCTGTCGTCATTGCTACTTACTTCCCAAGCATATTTGACCACAAAACTATGGAAAAAAAAAACTATGGAAAAAAAAACTATGAATCTGCAGGTGAAAAAATAAATGTCATGAATCCAGGGAATAGTCTGACTTTTGTGGCAGCTGTGCAGCAGCTCTCCTATCCTCCTGGGTCATCAGGGGCAGGGAGGTGCCAAGCCAAAGAGGTGTGATGTGGACTGAGAGAGATTTGTGACCATGTGGTAGTTTGCTTTTACTTGGGGTTAAGGTAGAAGAGACCCACGATCTTTAGAACCATGGAATTTTTGTTTAGGAAGAAATCTTCATTCTTAGCCACCTGATTTTACAAAATAAGAAACTAAGGCCCAAAGACTTGACAGTTGTCACCAAAAATTAGGGAGAAAGCCAGGACTGAAGACTAGATATCTTCTCTTCCAATAAAGCACTCCGTCCACTCTGCCCCAAGCCCTTATTGTATAATAGAAACAGCACCTCGGAGCTGAAAGGGTCCTTGGTGAGCATCTTATAGGTGAAAGAGCTGAAGCCCAGAGAGGTTCAGTGAGGTCTGCTAGACCTACCCAAGATGGAACCACAGGAAATAAGTCACCTCAGCACCTCCCCAGCAGGGCTTCAAAGCTGGGGTCCCCTGGCACTGCCCCTTCAACTTAGAAGAGTTTAGAGTTTTTAGGAGAAGTTATTAAAAACACTTGCCTTTTCTGAGCCCAGGATCCCTTGTGTAAAATGCAAGGATTAGGGTCACTTGACGATCACTTGGGTTCCATAGAATGATTCCATTTTGTGATTCTAAGACAGTCTTGTTCCTGAATGACTCATGTTTCTTTTTATTTTTTATTTATTTTTATTTATTTTTTGAGACGGAGGACTCATGTTTCAAGTTTTTTTCTGTGAACAAAGGGTCTGTCACTCTTTTCCGGAGGATTCAAAGGCAGCACAGTTTATTTACCTGGGCAATTGTGAGCTTCTTGGGGCCTGACTTCTCAGTCCCCCCCAGCTTTTGTCCGTCCTGCTGAGGGACAGACATGGCCCACGTTCCAGGTTGATGTGAATCTTTGCGATCCCTGACTTCAGGTCTTTTCAGGCAGAGGTGGCCTTCCCCTAGAGCCCAGGAGAGAAGGAGAAGCCAACTTTGCAGAGCAGTTTTTCAGCATCCTAGAAGATGACAATCTCTGAATGGTGTTTTGTATGGTCAGCATCCCAGAAGATGAGGGTCTCCGAATGGTGTTTTGTATGGGGTTTTCACCTTCAAACTTGGTGGGGAGGCAGGGGAACATGATGGAGGGAAGTCCAAGAAGAGAGAGAGATAAGGAGAAAAAGAAATAGAGCAAAAGAGAGAAAGAAACAGTAGCAAAAGGATACCCTGGATGCTGTGTGAGAAGACAGAAAAGCAAGTAGATAGAGAGTAGCAATAAAGAGCAAGTGAGTTGAGGGCTTCCATCTCTGGGCACCTGCCCATTTCACAAGGCAGCTCCAAATCCCAGGCTGTCAGAGCTAAAAGGGACCATCTGGTTCTAGCCTCTTATTTTATAGATGAGAGCTCTGAGACCCAGAGAAAGAAAAGATGCCCAGAATCATCCATGCAGCCCTGTGCACCAGGACTGAGGGAGCTGCCTCTGGGGCCAGGGCTTTCTGGGTGGAGCCCTGTTCTCTGTTCTCATCTATCTTTCCTGCCTGGATTCAGCCCATCTTTGACTGGGGAGTTGTGACTGGGACCTGCTGCCTTCTAGCAATGCTTTTCTGCCAACTAACTGGAAGTCTCTCTTATTGCCTTGGTACAGGATATACTGCGGGGACACCATACAAGGTCCCACCGACCCAGAGTAATACTGCTCCACCCCCCTACTCCCCATCACCCAACCCCTATCAGACGGCCATGTATCCAATCAGAAGTGCCTACCCCCAGCAGAATCTGTATGCCCAGGTAGGTACACGTCAAAGCCACTTCTTCTGCAGGTAGAGGAGCCTCCAGCCTGGGCACAGTGTGGTGGGGTGGGGTAGGGTGAGGAAGTGAGGGAAGGAGAGGATGGTTAGTGGCTCAGCTAGCTGTCCTTGTTGCATCACGGAAGCGATATCCCTGCAGTCTGCTTACTCCCTCACTCTACCTCAGCCCCTAGAGGGGTGAGGCATGAAGTCATTTACATTAACAGAGCCCAGAATGTCAGAGGACAAAGGCCCTCAGAGATTTTCTAGCTCAACTCCTTTGTTAAACAAGTGGGGAAACTGAGACCCAAAGAGGGGAATGACTTGTCCAGGGTTACACCATGAGCTATTGGTTGGTCAAGATGAGACCCCAATGTCTTAGTCTTTTCTCTCTAACCCCCACATCTACCCTTCCTCAGTCTGTGAGCTGAGTGGGGAGGATGAAAGTACACAGGCTCTGCCACCAGAGCTCTGTGACCTTAGGCAAGTTACTCTCTCTTTCTGTGCCTGATGGGCCTTTCTGGGCTCCTTCAGCTAGAGGATGTATGCATTCCAGGATTGGTATGAGACAGGGGACCATATGGGGCTCTGGCACACCCATGACACATTCTTCTGGAGTGACAACTCTATAGGAAGTATAAGTGGTGAGGAGAATACTTTTTTAGTTTAAAAAACAGCTATATTTTAGAGTAGAAGACAAAACTTAAAAAAATAAGAGGCTTGAGATCAATTTATCTCATTTAATAGAAACATTTGAAGATTTCTGAATTAAGATGATATCAGGGGCTCCTGTTTACTTCCCCTGGAAGTCAGTGGGCCAGTGGATTGTGGTAGCAGGAAGCAGCCATGTGATTCAGGCATTGGGAGTCACCTCGGACCACTGTCTTCATCCTTGCCTTTTTACCTAAAGGGAAATAGCTAATAAGAGACATCCTGGGAAATGCTATCCATGTATGCCTTTTTTTTTTTTTTTTTTTTTGAGATGGAGTCTTGCTCTGTTACCCAGGCTGGAGTGCAGTGGTGTGATCTCAGCTCACTGCAGCTTCCGCCTCCCGGGTTCAAGCCATTCTCCTGCCTCAGCCTCCCAGGTAGCTGGGACCACAGGCATGCGCCACCATGCCTGGCTCATTTTTTTGTATTTTTAGTAGAGATGGGGTTTCACCGTGCTGATCAGGCTGGTCTCGAACTCCTGACCTCAAGTGATCTGCCTGCCTTGGCCTCCAAAGTACTGAGATTATAGACATGAGCCACCGTGCCCGGCCGCCATTTTTTTTTCAACATGTACTTTTTTTTACAACATGCACTTGTACCAGTATGATACTACTACTAACTATCCTTCCGTGTATGTGTTCTGGAGTTTACCAACGCTGTTCACATGCTTGGTAACTGATTGACTGTTATTCCTAACTTTAAATTTTAGGTAGTTTATAAAAGTTCATTGCAGTAAGTTAAAACATTTTAAAATGCTAAAACCAAGGTTAAGGGGGTAGAGCTCTTATCCCGTTAGATCATCAGAGCAGCCTTAGGAGCAAGGCAGGACAGAATTAGGGCCTTATTTTTCAGACCAGAAGCTGAGCCCAGCACTGCACTGACCACAGTCACAAAGTAAGACAAGCAGAACCCCAGCTGGGGTCCGGACCTTGTGTCCTTCAGCCAGTGCTGCTCTCTCCATATCCCACCTACCTCTCCAAATGCCTGTGTGACCTCAGCCTCTTTCCCCCAGGGAGCCTACTACACACAGCCGGTGTATGCTGCCCAGCCTCATGTCATCCACCACACCACGGTCGTCCAGCCCAACAGCATCCCCTCTGCTATCTACCCGGCACCTGTTGCCGCCCCCAGGACCAACGGCGTGGCCATGGGCATGGTGGCAGGCACCACCATGGCAATGTCAGCAGGTGAGGGCAGCTTCTGCATCAGTGTCCATCCCTTTCCTCTATGAACTCAAAACGGAGCGGAGAACACAGTCATAGAATCGACTGCAGCGTAGCACAAGAGATCCTGCGCCAGGGGGCTTGGGAACCCAGAGGAAGGAGCCTCTAAATCTGTCTGTGGGGATGAGGAAGATTTCACCAAAAAGGGCATATTGAGCTAGGCCTTAAAGGGTGAACACAGGCTAACTAGAGAAGTGAAAGAGGGAAGGGCGGTGCAGAAGGAACATGAATATGGCATGTTCACAGAATGGAGGAATGGAGCCATGGCCCTTAGGAAATTGGGGCTTGGAGTTGGAAGGTGGCTGGATCACTGGCAAGGATAAGATGGTGGAAAGTCTTGGACACCTTGTGGTACCTCTATTGTGCACAAAGGGGGTCAAGCAGGGCAGGGATGCAGTTAGGTTTAAACATTCTCTGGCTGCAGAGTGGAGACAGGATTAGAAGGGGTGATTCAGAAGCAAGTAGCTCAGTAAGGAGGTTGTCAGTGTACTTTAGGGGAGAGAGATGATGCTAGCACTCCAATAACAGCAGGGGCACCAAAAAAGAGGACACAGGGGGCAATGCTCTTTATTAGGCAGGAGCTTAAGAACCTGTGCAATAATTATAATAATTATGAGGGATGAGACAAGCAGAAGTCCCCAAGGACCCTTTTTTTTTTTTTGGAGACAGGGTCTTGCTTTGTCACCCAGGCTGGAGTGCAGTGGCACGATCTTGGCCTACTGTAGTCTTGATCTGCTTGGGCTCAAGTGATCTTCCCACCTCAGCCTCCCAAGTAGCTGGGACCACAGGCATGCGCCACCACACCCGGCTAATTTTTGTGTTTTTTTGTGGAGGCAGGGTTTCACCATGTTGCACAGGCTGGTCTTGAACTCTTGGGCTCAAGGGATCCACCCACCTCAGACTCCCAAAGTACTGGAGTAACAGATATAAGCCATTATGCCCAGCCTAGAGACCCAACTTTTAAAGAACCAGGTAGGATACCATCTGAGGTAAGAAAGTATAAGGGGTAGAGTGAGCATTTGGATTTTATTCTGCCCCTAACGTAAGGGTATGGTTAAGGCCTCTTACTCCCCAGATCAAGTTGGCAAACTGTTGGCAAACTGACTCAGTGTCAGCCTTGTTCAGGTCCTGGGAACCCAATATCAATAGATCAGATCAGAACACTGTCCTTAAGGAACACCTAGGTTAGTGTGGGAAATACAACCACACACATCACAATTACTACTCAGTATGATTGTGCAGTAAGAGAAGCATACAAGGAAAAGTAAAAGGAAGGCTGGGCATGGTGGCTTACACCTATAATCCCAGCATTTTGGGAGGCCGAGGTGGGCGGATCACTTGAGGTCAGGAGTTTGAGACCAGCCTGGCTAACATAGCGAAACCCTATCTCTACTAAAAATAAAAAAATTAGCTGGGTGTGGTGACGGGCACCTGTAATCCCAGCTGCTCAGGAGGCTAAGGCAGGAGAATCGCTTGAATTCAGGAGGCAGAGGCTGCAGTGAGCTGGGATCGCACCATTGCACTCCAGCCTGGACAACAGAGCGAGACTCCATCTCAAAGAAAAAGGGAAAAGGAGGACTTAGAATAGTGATTGATTCTGTCCTCAAGCATCAGAAAAGATTCTCCTAAGGAGGCGAAGTCTGGCAAGGTGGAGAAGGGTGGACAGCAGTTCATCAGGAAGGTGAGGGAGATATGGGGGATTTGGGCAGAGGAAACAGCCATGTGAAAGACTGTAGCTTCATCCTCTTCATTCCTGTGTCTGGTACAGCCTCGTCAGGTTACTCTTTTCTCTCTGGATGCTCAGGTACCCTGCTGACTACACCCCAGCACACGGCGATTGGGGCACACCCTGTCTCCATGCCAACATATAGGGCCCAAGGAACCCCTGCGTACAGCTACGTGCCCCCACACTGGTAAAGCCTGCAGCCCATCCAAGTGAGTGTGGCCAGGGTGAGAAGTGGGAGGGGGGGATACATACAGGAACTGCCTCAAAGTCCCTGGTTTGGGTCTGGCGCACAGGTGTCAGCTGGGGCAGGTAACAGCTGTCAAGGTATCAGTTGCTTTCCTGCTCCAAGGTCCATAATATCACTCTTAATAATAGCTATCACTTCTGTTGACTGCTTGTTGAAATCTAAATAAGAACAGAAATAATAGTAGCTATCCCTTTGTTTATGTTATCTCATAATCCTTATAGTTGCTCTGAAATAAGGATCATTAGCTCCATTTTACAGATAAATATGTAGTTCAGTATCAAAAACTTCAGTTCTCTAGTACTGAATTCTGTGCCATTTACCTTATGGTCTTCAGATTTCTTTTAACTTTGGGCCCCATTCTTCAAATGAACTCTTACCTAGATCATATGTTAGAGCTTTGATTGGAGCTGTTTGGAGGCTTTGGGCTGACCCAGGCCACTGGCTTCCTTGGTCCCCTCAGCAGCTCCTGAGGCAGTGACAGTGAACCACAGTGCTCCAGGGATGTCACTTTGAAATCCTCTGGCCCACCACATCATCTGGCCTCCCCTATCTCCTCCAGGGTTCTTGGCACCAGAGTACAACAGCTTCCACAGGCAGGAAGCGGGCAGCTTCACTAGGAAGGCACAGAGGCTCCATTGAGGGCTCCCAAGTTGAGGGGAAGGGGTCCAGAGGTTTCCTTGAGGAAACCTGGAATATCACTGACACTGTTTGGGGGCCTCTGGAATATCACTGACACTGTTTCTTTCCCCTTTCCCTCCACAGATCTGGAGTCACACATTGTATGCAACTACTCAAGTCTTACACCGGTGCTGGAGCAGTTCCCTAGCAGCACCACCTCTATTTGCAAGAAGAGACAACGGAAGTGCAAGGGTCACTTTATGCATCTTTAATGGTTTTGATTTTTATTTTTGGTTTTTGTAAAAGCTGCTTTTTCTAATCTCCTGCCTCTCCCCGACTGTACCCCTCTTAGCCGCTGCCCTTCCAGCTCTACCCACTTCCTCCTACCTGACCAGGCCATGTCCTCTCTGCTCTTCCCTAAGTGTCCTGTCCCTGGGGATCCCAGTCTAGAGACAAGCAGAGAGTAGGGTTTATTGCAATGGTTCATCTGAAGGCTGGATTCCATTTGAAGAGCATAAACAGATGTGGTCCAGGGTAGGAACTCAGAGCTGTTGAGCAGGCTACATCTCTAGGGGAGTGTTCTGGTTGTTTTTCTTAAGCAAGATTAGTTCAGGACATTCCCATGTCCTGAACACAAATGAAATGTCTCCTGAGAACCATTGCAACAGACCAAGAACAAAACCACCTGAGTATGTAGGAATGTTATTAGCAGCTTAATACCCCAGGCCAAGAACCTGGGAAAAAAAGTCTTTAGAATTTGGGGAAGGGTGGGGGGGAGGGAGGGCATTGTGGGGAAGGAGAGGGGAGAGGGGAGAAGGGAGCAGTGTTTGCCTCATGGCTTTGGTTTGAAAGGTCTCTGGTCAAAGCATCTGGCCCTGGACCTTCTGATTTGCACAGTGATGTTAACTGACCTGGCACTTCCTCAAAAGGTGATTTTGACCTTAGACCTGCCAAGCGGCTGCAGGGTGGTGGGATCCCGGCATCCCGAGGCCTTGGAAGGCCAGATGCCCTGTGTCATCCAGACTTCAGCCTCTGAGCTGTCATGGACCCACTCTGATGAGGAGCTTCCTCCTGACTGGAGTGGGAACCTAGGGCATTTCTCTCCCTTTCCTTTTGCCCTTCCCAGTGCCAGGACTCACCTCTCTGACTGTAGAGCTTGCAGGCAGGCCAAGCTCTTGGTTACCTGTGCCATTCATGGCCCAAGTGAAGGAACCATATTCCAGGTGGGTGCTGGCAGTTCTGAAGGTCAGGATAGTGAAGGAAAAGCAATAGCAATAAACATTTCATAGACTCATGGAACTGAAGGGACCTTAGCAATCATCTCATCCATTCCCCTATTTGGCAGATGAGGAAACTGAGGCCCAGAGAAGAGGAAAGGACTGCCCTAGACCTTACAGTAAATTAGCATTAAATGCAGCCTTCCTACCTAGTGGGCACCTTGCCTACAAAAATGTACCTAGGGACAGATTGGCTTGGTTTTGTAAAAATTAAGTCGGCAGCGCCCATACCTGGTGAGTCTGGAACGGTCTCTGGGCTCCTGTTTCTGCCCTTTTCCTCCACGGACTCCAAAGGCGGGGGTTGAAGACTGGGCAGAAGCTACATGAGGGCAGATGGCAGGAACAGAAATGGCAAATGAAGAAATAGCATTTGGAAATTCTGTGAAGACATCTGGAACTTCCATCCTGTACCTGACTCCACCTCCAGGAGAAGGAGCAGGTGGGCTGGCTGAAAAGGAGAGACCATACTTTTAGGACAGTAGCCCCTCATCCCGAGAGGAGAGGAAGAGGAGGAAGAGAGTGGGAGTCATCAGGAGAGGAGGACAAGGATGAGGCCCAGGAGACAGGCTCATCTGGGAGAAGAGGGACCCCTGGGACCAGGAGGTCCCTGCTAGTCTCAGCCAGGAGCCTGGATTGCCCAGGAGCAGCCTCTGGCACCCAGCGCTTGGCTGGGCCAGCAGCTCCTCTGGGGGTGGGGCACGAACATTTTACTGTACAAAATGGGATCATTGACAACATTTGGGACTTTAAAAAACTGCTTTCATTTTAAATTCACACAAACTTGGACATACCCTTACCCCTACCCCTCATGTCTCCCCAAGGGAGGGAAAAATCAGGAAACCCTTGGGTTGGAAGGAGCTCAGAAGCTGTCTAGCCATTCCCAGGAGGGTAAAGCCCATCAGCATCCTTGGTCTAGAGCCAGGAGTTTGGGGGCCCACCTTCCTGGGCTTCCAAGGAACTTTAGGACCAGTAAGAAAAAATTCAGCTTTTCTAAATTGTCTGTTCCGGGGTGCTGATGAGGTTTCACTTTAAAACAACAGAAAGTTTTCCAGTGTTAATTCACTTTTTGCAAATACCTCCTCCCACCCGCTTTGGTTTTGTAAAGGTGGGTAAAGGTTGTTCTGGATTATGTCATACGTGTTTGAAAAATGCCAAAATAATAATAATGATAATGATGATAATAATAATAGAAACCTTTGGATTTGTCAGGTGCATCACAGAGTTCAAAGCACTTCAAAGCCTTTCATGTACTCGCCCTGAGAGGGATGGGATCACAGTTATTACAGTCAATTGACAAATGAGGAAACAGGTTATGGAAGGGAACAGGCCCACAGTGAACAGCATGCTGGTCTGCCAGGCTTCCCAGAACCCTGCTGCCTCCATGTGGGCTGGGGTGGAACCACAGAGAGGAGAAAGGAAGAAGAGGAGACCTAGGAATGACCTTGTAACTTTTGTTCTTTCTACACCAGTAAGTAAAACTAACAGCTGGACCTCAGAGTTCACAGAACAGTTGAACATAAATTATCTGGTTTAACCCGATGAAACAGAGGTTATTTCTCCTATTTGATCCATAAGGAAATCAAGGCTTGGAAAAGTCAAGTGACTTGCTAATAAGTGACAGAGCCACTTGAATCCCAGGCTGTCTGCTGTCTCGTTCCCCTCCATCTGATCCCCACACAGGCTCACGTACTAAAGCATTTGTGCTCTGTGCCCTATCTTAGCCCCTACTATGTAATTCAAGAGCAAAGGGAGGCCCCAAGGTGAAAATAGGGCACTGAAAGGCTGTGGTCTGGAGGAGCCTAGGTCCAGCACCCCTTTTTCAGTATGAGCCCCAGTTCAGCTGGCCTCAGCCTCTTGCTATGATGGAGATCCACAAGCCTGGCCAAGCTTGGGGAGTCACTGCAAAAGGACTGAGCCCAGGAGAGCGGGGGCAGTCATGTGCCTCTGGTAGGAAGGGCACAGTTACTGGTAAGGACACAGAGATCTAGTGGGAAGTACCATAGGTATCCTCCAAAGATTCTAGACGGCGCGGTGGTCAAGCAAGATAAAAAGTCAGAGCTGGAAGGGCCCTCTCATTGAAGGCAGGCAAGCAAGAGAGGACAAGGGATGTGGCCGCCGACAATGAGCACAGCACTGGCCCCAGAATGCAAACCCCTCCCTCCTCCTCACGCCACTGCCTCTCCCCAGGTGTAACACCCGTGGCCAGGATCGGGGTCCAGATGGTTCCAGTCACCAGCCAACCCTTTTGAATTCCTCTACTTCTTCTACCTGACCCCCTCTCCTCACTGGCCTGGGGCCGAGGAAGTTTGAGTCTGGGAGCTGGATTGCCTGCAAATAGTGAAAGCCTGAAACATAATGGTTTGCCGTGTTTTGAAAAAAATGCATATTTAATTTCTTCCTCATGAGGTAGGAGTTGCTGTTCTTTCTTACCTGGCAATGACTCTAAAATGTATATCCCCTTTCCTGAATATCTAGCAGGGACACACACACCTGTCCAGAGCTTTTTTGGTATGCAAAGTACTTTGACATTGGTTGCAAAAGTCCTCCATTTTACAGGCAAAAAACCTAAGGCTCAGGAGGCTTGACACTTGCTAAAAGGTCACACAGCTTGTAAGTGATTCTTCAAATCCTCTGCTCTTTCTGCTGCCACCTGCTGGGCCTCTTGGCAAGCATGAAGGGAGGGGCTCACTGTACTTTATAGAGAGCTGGGAAGCCCAGTCCTCTTGAGCTGAGCGTATTTCTATGAACTGCTTTGGGCCAGGACCTGTAATGAGCCCTGGGGAGGGACCCAGAGGCACATCTAGCTGGCAGCACAAGGAGGATGAGAATTTGCAACTAAAGGCCTCACTTGGACAAAACACTTTGGGGTCACAATGCCCAGGACTGAAGACATGTTCAAGGACAGCACGAGGCATCTTTCTACTGGGAGACCCATGTCCTTGGTAAGCATGCACACCTGGCTTCCTATCCCCTGAGAGCCTGCCCACTGTCCAGATCCAGTGAGTTGGTACTTCAAGAGGATCTGGTGTAGCCTTGGCCAAAAGCATACAGACTGAAGTCTCTGGGCTTGCTTTTCCCATGGGTGAGGACCAGAACCAGACTCTGAGCATCCTTACCCCTGGCCACCCAGATTGTTCCAAATTTGAGGTACCCCGTTCCCAGAGATCTGGGGGTCCTTCTTTGGAGGGCTTACTTTGTTCTGATGGCCTTCAGAAAGGAATCACATGAAGTATAAAAGGACAGGCCCCTTGGTCACCAAGTTTTGGCTCCTCATACAGATAGGACTCATCCAGGATTCCAGTGAGGCACTGGCTAAGCTTCCATATCAAATTCCTCAGCTTTGTTCTGTGCCCAGAGTGAACTTTGTCTTCTATATCACCATCTGTATCAGAATCCCTCCTCAATTGCAGTTAAGTGAAAATACGTGGAAGTCTGCTTTTCTATCCTGTATTCTCCCACATCACTACTGGCTGTGCAGCCTCTGCTGCTTGCCAAGTTTGGGAATCCAGAGAGAGGCAGTAGCAGAGTGGGCCAGTGGACCCATCCGCAGAGCTGAAGAAACACACCACACTAACTGATGGGATTCCACACCAGAGCCTCTGAGCGCAGGCAGGCATGCCCGGTGGGCTGCAGGGTTTGTCCTTTACTTATCCATCTGCCCCTCTCCTAGAAAACTTGTTTCTGAAATTAGGCATTCTATGGTTCCAGGGCCCAGCCTTCAAAATTCCTGGCAGGCCAGCTTCAACATTCCATGGCCAGCCCTGCCTAAGCCAGACTTGGGTCCCGGTCCCTCAGTTTCTCCAGTGGATATATGCTGTGGTGCATGCTGTTAAGTCCAACCCAAAGGCCAACTGAGGCACACAGGAATTGGGACTGGCTGCCACAAAGCTAGAAAGGGACAAGACAGCACTTTCTTCCCTGTGGCCACATGGATAGTCCCTGGATATTCTTGCTGTGGTAGTGAGGTCCTCTACCCCATTCCAGCCACTGATAGTGGGAGGATTTTCCTTCCTGAGGAGAACAGATGTAACAGCTTTGCAGATAAGTACCAGCCCGCAGGAATCAAATGGGTGAAACCCACTTTGGGCCTGACCCCAGCAAGACCAGCATCTCCAGGCCCCAGCCTTTCTCCTCAGGCCTAAGAGTCAGGGAAAGAGGGGAGACTGTCCCAGAGACCACCTCCTGGGGTCAGCCAGATAGTCTGGATCTACGGCGTGACTCAAGCTCCTCCTTACCCAGGGGGAGGTAAGGCCAGGCCTCTGGCAACCTGGAGTTGTCTGTAATAATCTTGAAAGGCTCAAGGGCCTGTCCCCATCCTGATTTCAAGGCATCTCCTTCCCTGTTTCATACCACATGACAGAGAAACCTGTTCTCATGGCATGTAACATCCCTGTGAAGACAGCGTTGTATATGATTTTGTATTTTTTAATTCATTTTAATCTACAGGTTGGAATCTAATTTTTAAATTTTATTGGAACTCACATTTTAAAAAGAAATAAAAACATTTAAAATAATAACAATAATAATAATAATAAACCTTTGACCGGTGTCTTCCAAGTAGTTTGATCAAAGAATTTATAGGTGTTTTCAAAACACAGTCCAGAGTGTAAAGATTGGAAAGCCCCATGGCCTCGCTTGTGTGTATGAAGTGTAAATCTGGTTTTGTTTTGTTGCTTTGGATTCTTTTGGGTTTTTGTTTTGTTTTGAAGATCAGACAGTGATCACTCTGAAAGATTGAAGCCAAGAATTTGTAACTATGATATTTACTGTAAGCTGTAGAACACTCAATAACTATTAAAAAAAAAAAAAGTTTCCCAAAAAAAAAAAAAGTCTTAGGTGACTAGACTGAGTGGTTCTTGGGGAGGGAGGCACAGAGGACTGTCCCGGGCCAGTGAGTCCCTTGGGCTTCTCCCCAAGTTGATGCTAAACTTGTTCTCAGCAGTCAAGAAAAACCTGTAGTGCATCTCACAGCTGATCTGACAAGGGTCTGCCCTAAGGGTCTCACAGCTGCTGGGGAGCTATAAGGGACAACTTCAGCACCTACCCTAAGTGTGTGATGTGGGAGCACAGTGAGGCCATTCAGAGTTGAAATCCATAGAGCCATCTGCTCAATGAAGCTGACATCTCTCAAGTGCCTAGTGTGTGGCTGGCGCCTGCTGCTCATGTTTGTTAAGGCATTCGGTCCTCACAGCACAAATAAGGTGAGCCCTGTTGTTAGCATCATCTTAGATGGGGAAGCTGAGGAGGGTAAGTACCTTGGCCGAGGGTACAGAGCTGGTGAGGGGCAGAGTTAGAACTCACATTTGGCATTTGGTCTGACTCCATAGCCCACGCACCAAGCCCCATGTTCTGCCTATCTCAGAGTAAGCAAGGCCCAAGTTGGTGGTGGTGGTGGTTTTTGAGACAGTTTCACTCTCACCCAGCTGGACTGCAGTGGCGCAATCTCGGCTCACTGCAACCTCCACCTTCTGGGCTCAAGTGATCCTCCCACCTCACCCTCCTGAGTAGCTGGGACTACAGGTGCCCACCATCACTCCCAGCTAATTTTTGTATTTTTGTGTGTGTGTGTGTGGAGGCGGGGTTTCACCATGTTGCCCAAGCTAGTCTTGAACTCTTGGGCTCAAGCGATCTGCCTGCTTCAGCCTCCCAAAGTCCTGGGATTACAGGTATGAGCCACTGAACCCAGTGCCCTGAGCTTTCTTAAAAGATGGATTTGTCAGATGGGAAACCAAGGGGGACTTGGTGGTTTGTGGTTACAGAAAAAGGACAGCTGAGAGACTCTGGTGCCTTCATCCAAAGCAGTCCCATCAAGTGCTATCAGTTTTGCCTCCTAAACATCTGAATCTCTTATCTCCCCTCTGGGTGAAGCCACTGCCCTAGCCCAGGCGCAGGCTTCTCTTCCTGGTTATCTGTCCACCATTCCTTCCCAGGGCCGGGCGCCTACAGTTCATGCTTCATAGCTGTATCTCCAAGAACTCAGCCTCCTTACCTGGAGAGGAAACAGGCCAAAAGAGTCCAAGTAGCTTGGCTCACACTGCAGCTGAAATGAAAACTTAGACCTCCTTACTCTCTAATGCCTCTCACCAAATCTCACCCTGTGCCTCCACCCAGCCTCCCTTCCTGTCCTTGATCCAATATGAAACCCACCCACAGTGTCCGAGACGGCACCTCTGGCCACAGGCATTGTTGGGGCTGAGTCACCATAGTCAAGTTTATCCGGTGCAGGAAGGGATTTTCTCCCAGAGGCTCAGCTCCAGGTCACAGTGGAGGAGCTGAGGGCCAGGAGGGGAGGTGGAGACTTGGGTCCCAGCTCCTACCATTCTGGCCCATAGGGAAGAGGGGTGGAGCACAGAGGTCAAGCTCAGAACTCTTCCCCTCAGTGGTCAGCCCAGAACCCCACCCTGTCCTCCAGCTCCCACCTCCGCGTGGGCCTCTTGAACTCAAGAGCTGACAAAGCTTCAGGGATTTAGATGGAGCAAGCCAGAAACGCTTCCAGGTGAGGGTATGGGCCCTAAAGACCAAGGACATCAGACACACTCCTACTTTTGAGCCCTCAGCTCTTCATCCCACTCTTGCAGGCTAGCCTCAATACCCCAAGGGACAGGTGAGGAAATAGGCCAGGGCCATGCCTTTCATCAAGCAGAAAATTGGAGGCGGGGAGTCTGGAGGAGAGCACAGTGCTTACTGTGAGGGGGCGCTCAGCCCTGGCCTGGAAGCCTGCACCCAGCCCCCGTGCACCCTGGCTTGCATGTGTGTGTGCGCCTCTACCCAGGCAAGACGGGCAGGCTGCGGAGAGGGCATCTCGACCCCACAGCCCAGCCTTCCCCTGGGGAAGGAGGCCGAAGGCCAGCCAAGATGGAGAAGGCAGACCCTGAGATGCAGCTGAACAGCTGGCAAATAGGGACTCCAAGCACACTCTGGTAGCCGCAGGAAATACTTCCTTGGGTACACTGGTGATGCCTGCTAGTCCCCTACAGTGGACACCCTGTCCTACACTTTGGCATCCTTTTCTGCTCCAGAACATCCCTCCTGATGTCCACCCTCTGTTTCCTTTCCCTCTTCTGGTACGAGTGAAACATCTGGATCTTCAGAGGTGTCCCTCCCCTTCCTGCCCACCTGAGAAGCCCCCGAGAGAGACACCTGTGCCCTAGGTACCCAAGGAGAGGTCAAATCCCAAAGCACGTCTACCCAGGGCAGGAGGAGGACCCCAACTTGGTTTCTGCTTAGGAGAAAGGCCCCTGCCCTCCGTGAAGCCAGGCCTCCCACAGCCCCAGCATGGCCGCCCTATAGCTGCCCTATGCCAGCTGCAGGCAGACCAGGGACTCCCACAGGCTGGTCCTCTCCACACCTCCCCAGGTTCCATCAAGTGTCATTCATGGC